TCTTTGGTGAAATATCTGATCAGATCACAAAGCAATCTTTGATAGATCAACATGTTTGCTAATTGAAAAAACAAAAAGGTTTTTTTGAAGTAAGGTGCTCCTGCATAAATTTTAACCTACTTGAACTTCTACCTGTCCTGGAGACCTTCCACTCCAAGCTCTGGATCTTGGAATACCAAAGTTTGCTTCACTTAGCTCCTCTGTCCTAAATACTAGGGCAGACGAGTGCCTCACTTGGATGCATTAGTGCATCCAAGTGAGTTTCCAAAGTCGCAGATAATCAAAAACACCTAGAAATGCAGAAAAAAGCAGATTCTTTGGTCTAGACCACTGAATCAAAATTGATAGCGGTGAGGCTCAGATAATGATAAAAAAGGTTTACCAGATGTTTCTGACAATCACTCTGGTCTGGAAGTTACTGGATGTTGTTTAGTGGAGGGCTAATGCCTACTGCCCACGCTGCGTGCCATAACGGTGCATTGACTGAGCCATCACTAACATAGCTTCAGGCACACTTCTTCCTGTACACAGTCCCTAGCACCATCACTCATGAAAGATTGGGTGGTTGCATTAATCTTTTATTCCTCTCTGCTTTCCTAGCCTTCAAAGAGGAGACGGAGACATGGCTAAAAGGTAGAGAGAGAAAAAGAAAAAAAGTAGAGGAATGAAAAACACAACAATGAAAAAGGCTGTTAAGTGGTTGTGGAGAAATGAGAGTGTAAATTGCAAAACTCGCTGCAAAGGTCAAACAAGAATTTAAATCAGATCTATGCAACTGAAAAAACCTAAGGACAGATGTGTCTAACTTTGTGTTATGTTTTGATCCAGCTTAATTATACCTATTTGACCCAGTTCAATTATATTCCATCACTGACTTCAAAAAGAATATTCTACACTCAAAGCAGAGGTGCCGAATTATTCAAGCTGTTACTACATACATGCTGTTCAGCCTCCCTCTCTCCACCCTTCCTCTTTAACTCTTTACTCAAAGCAATACATCCGGAAGATGCTCTGCCAGCAGCCACCAGTGGCAGCTCACTGCCCAGCTCGCCATCGCCTTGTCAAGCTTTAGCCTCTTGACCCTCTGCAGAGTCGACTCCAATTGCCCTCCCTCCTTCCTGAGCTCCCGTGCTCTCCTGACTGCCCTGACTTAGCCTGCTCTACTCTGTTCCGTCATGACCAGCATCGGTCACTGAGGTTCAATTTGATGCTCCAGCCACTGTGCTCAATACGGGGCTAAGTGCTGGGTCTCAGAACTGAGTGGGGCTCAGGCTCTGCCCTCAGGAATCTCAATTTAGTAAAGATGTCCTCCTTTCTCTACACATGGCCTCTTTCCTGGAACTTCTAACTGCTCCAGCCCCCTTCAAGCTTAAGTACGCCAAAGTTCCCATCTGCCCAGTGCTTGACTGCTCTCTAATTTTCCCTCAGGGATTAATTTGCTGTTCTCTTTGGAGATCAGCCCCAATTAAGGACCGGCCCCCCCGCACCCCCTGCCCTGAGCTCCTCGGCATGGCACCGTACCAGCCATGGTATAACCCAAGCCCGCCTTCCATTTCAGCCCCCATTTCTTCTCTACAAGCATCCTGTGCTCCGTCTACACTGGACCTCTTGCTCTTCTTCAAACAAGCCCTTCCTATTCCAGTCTCCATGCCTTTAATTATGCTGTTTCCATCTGTTCCTCTCCCCATCTGTGCCCGTAGAAAAATTACTAATTCTTTAAAGCCCATTACAAATGCCACCTCTTGCAAGATTTCTCTGATTCTTCTGGAGCTTTCCATTTCCAGAAACTAGAAATATGCTCGTATCCCCTCTTTACTCCCATGCCACACTGTGCCTCTCTTATATCCCCTACTTTATTCTGTCTTGGACTGTGTGCCTACATTGCCCTCCACTCTGGCCTGAGACTTCACTGGCAGTGACGGTGCTCGCTTAGCCA